CTGGGTTATGTGTATGGTCCTCCTGTACTCCTCCTGGGTTATGATGTGTATGGTCCTCCTGTACTCCTCCTGGGTTATGTGTATGGTCCTCCTGGGTTATGTGCATGGTCCTCCTGCATTCCTCCTGGGTGATGTGTATGGTCCTCCTGTACTCCCAAATCTTCCAGGGGGCTAGTAGCCTGCAGGCCGTCTCTTCCAGCTCGTTGTTCCCCTAAGCTTGAACTTGCCTGTCTCTGGTTACCATTTCAGGGTTTGTTGTTTTTTCCTTTGTTAAGACAGGGTCTCATGTAGCCCATTAGGCCTTGAACTTGTTATATAGCCAAGGATGACCTTGAACTAATGATTCTCCTGCCTCCACCTCCCAAATACTGAGATTACAGGCATGTACCACTACAGCCAGTTTTATGTAGTGCTGAAAATCAACTACAAGGCCTTAAATTTTTAAAAAATTTATTTATTTTATGTGTACCAGTGTTATGCCTGCATGCATGTAAGTGCACTGTGTCTTGTATTGCCCACAGAAGAGGGCATCAGATCCCCTGAAACTGGACTGTTGTTAGCCACCATGTGGGTCCTGGGATTCAAACCCAGATCTTCTGCAAGAATAGCCAGTGCTCTTAACCACTGAACACTCTCTCCAGCCCCAAATACAAGGCCTTTTACCTTCTAGGCATGTGCTCTACCACTGAGCTCTATCCTCTGCCCTCTGACTACCATTTCAAAGTTTCTGAAACCTACTGATTTCAGACTAGTGATTAGGCCAGTACACCAGGCAAGAGGAATGCTATGGCTGCTGGGTCCTACCAAGACCCCACAGCAAGACCTGGTCTGCTGGCAACCTGAACAGGGCCTTTTGCCTGCAGGAATAGCTGCCAGCCAAGCCCCATCTCAATCTTCCCTCTTCTGGCTGTGCCCTGTCTGATCCCCAACCTTTAACAGCAGGTACAACCAGGAGTTCCAGTAAAGTCAGCCTCCTCCCTTGGTCCAGGGCTTCCTCTCCTGCTGTTCCCCGCCCCTACTGTTCTGAGGTCTCTGGGCCTGGTTGAGCAGAAGACACGGTCTGTGGGAGGACTGAGCAGGGCTTCCCGGAGGAAGTGGCCACTGGGTTGATAGGGGAGATGAAAGTGAGCTATGTGGGAGGAACTCCACCCAAGGAAGCACTCCAAGCTTGGGGGTGTGTTATACTGCCCTGTGTGCATTTGGCTCTGTCCCTTGCCCACTGTGAGAACTGGAGTGCACTAGTCCTCAATGCCTCATTTTCCTCATGTCTGAACCTGCCATCAGCAGCTTTGTGAGTTGCTGAGGATTGGAGGAAGCTGTGAGCCTTTGTTTGCAGAATCTGGAACTTAGCTCGAGTAGTCCTCCTCATTAAGGATGTGGGCAGGGAAGAGTGCAGGAGGTGAGGCAGGAGACCTAGATCCTGATTGCTACCAAACAAAATATTGGGAGGGCTACCCAGGATGTGATCCCCAGGTGTGCCCTCCACTGGCTATGTGGTGACCTGGGACAAGTGTGAGACAGTGTCTTTTTTGAGGTAGAGATGAGGGTGCTGCTGTGATGAAGCGAGACCTGTCAGCCTCTGGCATACGGTGAGTGCTCCCTGAAGAGTGTTTGGTCACCCAAATGGTGTAGATTAAACACTGGTGAGCAGTGAGGGCTTTGGGGAGGAGTGGTCACATTCAAGTTAGGTGAGAGGCTCAGAGACACAGAAAGAATGGGAAGTAAAGGGTTACTGGTGCCGAGGCCTGTGCAGACCCTAGCAGGAGCTCACAGGGCAGAAGTGGAACCAGGAGCCATTAGTCTCCCCAGCCATTGACAAGGACACAGAGAGATGAGTGCTTGCGCAGGCAGTCTTTGCTGTCAGGAGCCTTGAATGCTGGAATGAGGAGGACCCTTCTGGCTCTCCCATGTCTCAGGGAGACAGTGCCTGTTTTGAGCAGGAGAGAAGAGAGTGCATGGAGCTAGGAGGGAGGATGGTGTGGTGGGTTGATTGGCGGGGGAGAGACTGGGGGTGGAGAGACCATTTAAAAGGCGGTTGCAGAATCGGTTTTCCTGATAAAGAGCCTGGCTGAGTCATATGTGGAGGAGAGAAGTCATATCTAGCTCATCCGGGTGCTGTCGAGGTGGGATTTTCCTGTCTTCGTCAGCCAGGCACTTGCCTGCTTTTTCCCAGAGGCTTTGAGAAGCGAGGCTGGAGGCATAGAGCATCCTGGGGAAGCCGGGCTTCAGGGAGGACCTAGCCAGAGTGAGTAAACTGAGCATTCAGAGGGACCTTGGGGGTTTCAGGTATGACTCAGGGCATGCCACATCCCTGTCTAGTTGAGTTTTCCCTCCCAGCACCAGGGGAGATGCATATGGGGACTTCTCGTAGCCTGTTAGTGGCAAGGCTGGAGCTGGGCCTGGGAATCCCTAGTCCTGTGTCCCCCTTGGCCTGCAATCCTTCCCACCCAAATGTGTGTGTCGTGCTATAGGGAGGCCAACAATGACAGTGTTCTCACTGTGCCCCTGGCATTGGGTGAACTCCCCAGGGCTTGTGTCATTTCCCTTGATCGGGGGAGGCAAGGCAGCCAGGCCATTACTCAGCCTCATCTTCCTGCCCCAGCCAAGCCAGAGGTTGTGCAGTGGCTGGGACATTGGGTCCTTCCTGATCCCACCAGGCAGGCAGTTTACCCAGCCTGTTTACCCGTCCTGTTGCCAAGGCTTCCAGGCTGCCGCAACGGGCTGCCTCACACCAGCCACTGTCCCCACCTCTGGCTCCCTTCCCATCTCCTCGCCTGGCCTGGATGCTCCTATGACGGCTGTAGTATGAAGAAGCATTTCCTTGAATTCTCTCTGTCCTGACCTTCTGCTGTGGCCTCCCTTTCACTGCCCCAGTCCCCTCCTTGGAATTCTTGGTCCAGACAGGTCCAGTGATGGGCAGAACAGGAGGCTGCCCACAGAGGGTGAGAGGGACCAGGAGTTGGGGAGAGGGTTTGTTCCAGTCAGAGCAACACTAGAATTGGGGGCGGGGTCTCCTGACTCCTAGCCTTATGATCTTCCTACCCTGCCAGTATGCCTTACACTACCAGAGCACTGGTCCCTGGATCAGAGCATTGATGCTGGGATAAAGAATCCAGAAGCTTTCTTGACCCTCTGAAGCTCTGGACTAGAAGGCAGATTAGTTAAGAGATGAGACTTCCTAGTCAGGCTTTCTGAGTTCTGAATCCCAGCTCTGCCACTTACAAATTGCTTGCCCCTGGGTGGGCATCTCTAAGCTTGGGTATCACCTACAGAATGGGAGAATTAACAGTATCATCTTCGGGGTTTGTCTTGTAGATGAACAAAATAGTGAGCATGGAGCACAGAGTTCTGGGCCTGCCTGTATGAAACCTGTGATCACGGACAGCATCCCCAACCTCCAAAGGCAGTCCCTGCCTTCCTGCTCCTTCTGCACTCAGGACCTGCCTGCCTTACCCAGTCTTCCGAGCCCAGGCAGCTCTTCTCTATGCCTGCCTTCCATCCTTTTACTGAAGGCTTGTCTCCAGGGCTGCTGCCCAGGGCTCTGTACAGAGCTGCAGGGGCCTGGGCTAGTAGAAGGAGCATGATGCACAGGTGCAGACAGAGCTGCTGGTCCCTGTGGCCCTGGACCACCTCCCATTTCCCAAACACTAGGAGGTACAATCTTAGACCAGTTTGCCATCACCAGAAGTGGCACTGCTCTAGTCTAGGGAACTCTGGCTGGGGCTTTCTTCTGTTATCCTGTGACAAGGGACTCTTGGGTGCCTTTGGTTGGTGGTTGTGCCGGGTGACAAAAATCATCAGAGTTGTTGGCTGAGTCTAGTCCAGACCTCCTTCTGAATTCCTTTACCTTGGCTTTGCAGCTGATGTGGGTGCAGGGTTCTCCTGGGAAGGAGGGTTCACTCCCCTCTGGCCCTTTCTGCCTCTCCTCTTGGCATAGAACAGGAGCTTCAGGGCAGCTCCAAGTTCAGTTGAGAGGAGGGTCATCCAGAGCAGGGCAGGCTATGACTGAGGCCTGGCAGACTGGGTCCCAGGCCACCTACTCCTGGTGACCCTTTTTATTCCTGAGCCTCCCAGGCCAGCTTATCCCCAAGGACCCTCACACTGGCATTAGAGGATTTCAGTCAGCAGCAGGTGGGCTAGAACTGAAGCAGGAAAGCAAGGAGAAAAGCAACAACGGGCAGGGAAAGAGGAGCCTGGATGTTCAAACACCAGATCACTTTCTATCAGATGAACTGAGTGCAGGGCTGACCACACTTGGCCTCCTTTTTTTTCTTCTCTTTTCTTTTCTTTTCCCTTTTCTTTCCTTTTTCTTTAGTGTAGAAGATAGACGGAGCCTATTGCAAGGTAAAGTGGAACACTCAAGGGGTGAGAGTGAACAGTGGCCACAGGGACCGTATCACATGCATTTTTGAGAACAGAAGGAAAGCTGGTGTGACAGAGACTCCCAAGACAGGAGGGAGGTGATAGGAGATGTCATGAGGCCTTGGTTTGTTATGTCAGTTCAGACTCAGTTTGAGAGGTGCTGTATTAAGACCCTTCCAGGGGGCAGGTGTGGTGGCACACTCTTAATCTCAGTACTTAGAAGGTAAAGGCAGGTGGATTTCTGTGAGATCAAAGCTAGCCTGGTCTACATAGTGAGTACCAGGCCAGTCAGGCTACAGGGAGACCCTATTAGAGAGAGGAGGGAGAGGGAGCGGGGAAGGGAGAAGTGAAGGGAGAGGGAGAGGGAGAGAGAGAGGGAGATTTTATATATAT